GTGGAGATAAGGTGAAGAAGAACTACAGAAATCGGAATTCGATTGGGTAAAAAAAACGGTGAAGCAAAGGAGAAGCAACACGTGTAAAATGACCTGGAGACAAATTTCAATACCAATAAGGGTTACCGAAGGATAAAAAATTGTATTTTAACAAAAGAAGTGGGCTAGATCTACCAACTCCTAATGTAGTTTACTGAAGGATAAAAAATTAAAAATGCAGAAGAATCAAAGTATAGGGACCAGGAATGACAAAAATGAGTAATCTAATTAGAAGGGCTGAAATTGACAAAAAAGATAGGTGTTTACTGTTGAAATTTATCAAAACTTTAATATATATATATATATATATATATATATATATATATATATATATATATATATATATATATGTGGGGTAACTCGAGAATTACACAACTTAAAAAAATTTGATCATCTTTTAAAATTAAAATTTTTATTCTTGGGACGTCTTGCTCTATTGAAAAATATTGTTAACATATAACATATTGTTATTATTTTTTAATAAAAGTTATATATATATATATATATATATATATATATATATATATATATATATATATATATATATATATATATATATATATATACTACGTGTAAAACCCGTGAATTACGTAGATTGATTAAAAAAAATAAAATATTAAAATGTAAATAATAAATATTTTTTAAAATAAAATTTTGAAATAAGGAATGAAAAAACATATTAACTGCAATTTAATATAATATTTATTATATTTAATACTTTACATATATAAGTATAAGTATTACGTGACTTTTTAATTTTAAAAATTGAAAAAAACCATAAATTGATATGTGAATATTATTTATTTTAAAAATATCATAAAATGATTAGTATTAAAACTCATTAGAGATTGACATGTAACAAAATTATCTTCATTTATTATATATATATATATATATATATATATATATATATATATATATTAGATTGATCTACTTAGGAAGATAATGTCTAAGTTGGATTAATGAGGTGTTCAAAGTGAGATTTTCAAATAATATACTCTTATATCAAACAGACCAAACCTTCGATATTAATCATACATGGTTGTCCATTATCAGCTATATATTAGCTATAGATCAGTAGACATTAAAATTATTGAGTAATCTATACTATCTTTAGTCATAAAGAATACTAGACTAAGACTTAGAGATAATTATATTAGGTCACATCAAACGAAAAGCTAAGTGCTAGATTGAAAAGTTGTCCGGTTTCCAAGTCATCACATTAACAATAATGTGTGTCTATTATCTGAATTACTTTTTTTTTGGAACGGCAGAATTTATTAAAAATAAACTAGCAAGGAGCTAGAATGATTACATCAAAGAAGTAGCAGTAGTTGGATTATGAAGCCACTCAACCCAATTTAACCTAACCCTACTACATCTATTAGAAATCCAAAAGAATGATTTCTCAACAACATCATCAAAAATAAGTGATTTTTTAGGAGGAACCATTCCAAAAACATACATATTTCGAAAATTCCACAAGCACCAAAGTGAAGTTATAATAACCGCATCAAACACCTTTTTTTGACCTCTACTTAAGTTCCCACCATCCGACCACTTGATTAGGGATTGCACCGATATTTGAGATGGTAGGGACACCCCCCACCATATAGCAACCCTACCCCAAATGTCACATAGGTCACGACACCCTACAAAAATGTGGTCTATAGTTTCAGCAGCATCCAAGCAAATTGGGCACATGATAGATGGGACCGTAACACCTCTACTCGATAATCTCTCCCTCGTAGGGATACTAGCAAGCTGAATTCTCCAAACAAGAATGTTAAGCTTAATATGGACCCAATTATTCCACCGAGTAGCCACATCCCCCAAAGGCACCAGACCACTATCCAACGCGTATCGAACAAAAGACATAGAAAAATGATCCGAGCTATCAAGAGACCACCCCAATCTATCCGGACTCTGTTGGAGTTGAATCCCATGTACCACTTCCAAGAAAGAAAACCATTGAGTTTCTTCAATCCCACCTCTAGGTATACATCTAAGATTATCCGTACTCCATCCAATTAAGTAACGATCCTTGACATTAGCTGAGCGGTTCATATCCAGAGCAAAAACACGATGGAAAGAAATCGATAGGGGATTATTGCCTTGCCACTTATCATGCCAATATGAAGTAGATGCCCCATCACCAATTCTAATAGGAGCTAAGTTATGGAAGTCAAAGCCCTTATCCTTAAGATTCTGAACAATCCTCGTAATACCACTCCACGGACCCAGCACCTGTCTCCTTGGAATCAAAGAAACATTATTATCCCCCATACCATAAATGCTTTTGACCACCCTCACCCATAATAAATTGGGTTTGTGAAAAAACCTCCACTTCCAACGTAATAAAAGAGCCCTGTTAAAGGCAAAGAGACTACCGATCCCCAACCCTCCAATCTCTTTGGGGGCCAAGAGTTTATCCCACCTAACCCAATGCATACGCCGATCATTTAAGTCTGCACCCCAAAAAAATGTTGATCTTAATCTCTCCAGCTCCCTTATTACTGTAAGAGGCACCACATAAATTGACATCAAATAACTTGCAACCGACCCCAAAACCGCTTTAACTAGAGTCAACCGTCCCCCAAAAGAAAGACACTTGGCTTTCCATCCCGCCAATCTTTTCCGGAAAGCATCAACAATAGGACTCCAGGAAGAAGTTCTAGCCATATTCTGCCCAACAGGAACCCCCAAATGAGAAAACGGAAAATACCCCGGTGAACACCCCATACGAGTAGCCAGAGAAGAAACTTGATCATATGTAACCCCCATTCCATACAGCTTACTTTTGAGAAGATTGATCTTCAGACTCGAGGCTAGAAAGAAACATCTCAGAATGCGAACAATATGAAGAGCGTTCTCCTGATTTGAATCCGCCAATAGAGCAACATCATCAACATAAAGAAGATGGGAAATGGTGATTCCCCCTATCGTTATTCCTCTATAAGCATTAGCTAGCTGAGCCCTAATAAGGGCCACATGCAAACCCTCCATAGCCAACACGAAAAGAAAAGGAGATAAGGGATCCCCTATCTTAAACCTCTAAACATCCGAAATTCCAGGGATGGAGAACCATTCACCAGGATTCAGACAGTAGCAGAAGACAACATCTCCATAATCCAGTTACACCACAAAGGAGTAAACCCCATAATTTGCATGATTTCGATCAAGTACTCCCATGATAAAGAATCATAGGCCTTTTCAAAGTCCACTTTTAAAACCAAAAGGGGATTTTTCGAGGCTTTACTCCAAGCTACAATTTCGTTGAGAAGAAACGGCCCATCCAGAATCTGTCTCCCTTTTATAAACGCTGATTTCTCCACACTAACCAGACTGTCAATAACCTCAGCCAATCTATTGGCAAGAATCATACCAATAATCTTATACTGACACCCAATCAAGCTAATATTTCTGTAATCTTTAACAATCTTCGGGTCTCTAATTTTAGGTATCATAGTGTAAAAGGAGGCATTACACCCTTTAGGAATCGACGAGTGCGTATGAAAATGAGAGACCATGTCAAAAATGTCGTCCTGAACAATGTCCCCATACCGTTTTATAAAGCCAAAAGTGAAACCATCAGGGCTTGGAGCTTTTGAGGAGCCAGAGTCCCACACTGCCCTTTTTACTTCCTCCCGAGTGAACGTCGCATTAAGAAACTGGATCTGATCAGATGATAAATGACAAAAATAGGAATTCTGAATTCGAGGTCTAGTACCGGCCTGTTTAGAAAAAAGAGTCTGAAAATGGGTATGAAATTCCTCCTTGACTGTGTTTGTGTCATCAATCCAACAACCGTCCTTCAATATACCTCTAATAGCCATTTGTCTTCTCTTATTATTTATGACCCCATGAAAAAATCCCGAATTTTCATCACCTTCAATGCCCCACTTGACTTTTGCTTTTTGAGCTAGCTCTAAATTCGTAACATGATCTAGATCTGTTATATCCTTAAGAATATTCACTCGTTTCTCCCTTAAAGATGCATCTCCTCCATCATTCATAAGGCGAGAATCAATTGATTCTAACTCAGTTTGAAGCTCCTTTTGTTTAGAGTTCAAACTGAGTCTAGTAGAAGTGTTCCAAACACGGATATTTGTCTTCAAAAATTGAAGCTTCTTTTTTAATTTAACCCAGGGATGTGAAATCCTGAATAAATTCTGGTCTTGGGCCCACGAATTTTCGACAACCTCATCAAACCCCTCCAAATTAAACCAAGAGTAGAAAATACGGAATGGAGTAGGCCCATAGTCAACTCTATGCTCCATTAACAAAATAGGTCTATGATCCGGAATATAATTTTCCAAAACCGTACCTGTCAAATGAGGAAAAGCATCCAAAACACACGAGTAGTTAAAAATCTATCCAACTTACTAAATTTTTAACCCCACTTATCGCTCCATGTAAACCGAGGACTACCAAGAGAAACATAAATTAAACCCGCATACTCAATAAAATTATTGAATTTCGTAGGTGTATTAGAATTGAACAGGGTACCTAGTCTTTCTGATTCATCACGCACCTCATTAAAATCACCCGTCAAAACACATTCACCTTGGAAAGAATAAATAATCTGAAGCAGATTCTCCCAAAGACTTCTCTTAGGTTCAGCTCCTTGCGGAGCATATACCATAATAAACATAACCGACATTCCCGAAGAAGACCAAATTGTCTCGATAACCGAAAATAATCAGAAATATGTGAGGATTGAATGGAAACAGAATCTAAGTCCCAAAGAAGAAGAATACCACTCGAAGCACCACAAGAAGGAGAGAAAACGTAAGAAAAAGAGTTATTACCCCAAAAAGAACGAGCCATATGAACATTAATTTCTTCGATCTTCGTTTCTTGAACTGCCAACAAATTAACCTTATGTTTAAGACATAAATTACGTACCCAACTCCGCTTATTTTTGGATCCCGCTCCTTGAATGTTGATTGAAAGACAATTCATCTCAACATCATTTTTTCTGCGGTACCTTCAACGATTTCTTTTACTCTGTCATAACATCCCTCCAAATTGTATCCCATATCCTTTCCCATCTCCAATGTTTTGTGAATTTCAGTTAAGAATGACCCTTTATTAATCGAATTATCCGAACCTGCCCCAAAGCTATTGCATTTTGAAAAGCCTGGAGGGTGAGTTAAATCATCTTCAGAGTCAGCAACACCCGAAACCCGTCCAAATCCTCCCGAAAAACCAATTGGAGCCTTGGTACGCGAAGCCTTCCCCTCCTGATTATGGTCGTAAAAATGAGACTCCATAGCTGAGGCAGAGGATGGTGTTGGAGCTACTGCTGGATCGCTTTCCCTAACTACTGCTAGATTATTTCCTTTAGCCTGATTACCTACTGCAGCCGGAACAGTAACCGTCGGGTACTGTTGTGGAAACTGATCATCTTTCATCTGCTGGTGGCGATCAGCAGCACTGCTGACTTCCTCCTCATGCATGTGATCAGAGGACCTGCTTGTAGGAAAAAAAAATTTGCTCCTCTTTTTTTTCATGTAAATTTCGAAAATGCCCCTCCTCATACTCACAATCTTTGTTGCTATCATTAACCTTTATCTCTTCATAATTAGCCCCTGTATTGAATTCTCTTCCATGTCTTTCATCCCCCTTCATTTTTTCTAGTGTTTCATAAATCCCAAATGGGTCAAGGGACCCCTCTTCGTTATCACTATGTATATTATCAACCAAATCTTCCAATGCATTACAATTCTCATTGGAGTTTTCACTGCTAGCCTTTTTATCCTCCCATGTAAATGATGGGGTCCACCCACGTGCTTGCTTTATTCTAACCCAAAAATATTGGCCATCAATACTAACTTTGATAACCTGAGAAATAATCTCTTGGAATGAGGATAAAATACAAATTCTTTTTTTATAAACATTTTCTCCCAAATCATCATCTAGATGTAATATGTTTCCCCACTTAGCCAAGATGTTTTTGAAAGCTTGTTTACTCCAGGCCCGTAGAGGTAAACCTTCGACATCAACCCAAATTAATCGTTCTAAAGGTACAAAATTTCTGTCCCATGGTCGTTTCTCATCTATCCAATGATCCATAGCATCACTTGCAAGAAATTTCTTGCATGCATCTTTATGTTTAAACTCCAACATTACCCATAATCCACCAACATACCAAATGTCAAAATCCTCAAATCCTTCATCATAACATAACATTTGAAGATTAGGCAACGTTAGAAAGTCCCTACCCTTAATGAGGCAAGCTCGATTTGTTTTTTCCACAATAAAATCCCCTGCAGAGACCTGAATAACCTCATCCTTTTTGTTTGGGATAAATTTACCGCCTACTCCTTTCACAACATTCGCATAGGTAACTGAATTGCCAACAGAGTTCTCGTTTACCCTCGAATTTCCTTCTGTTGCATGGGGTGCATGAGACTTAGATTTTTTTGACAACCTTGGCACAGCAGCAAATAATTTATGATACCCAAACCAAATATTACATAATTCTCTAATCATACGATCAGTATCAGTCACATCCATAAATCGTACAAAACCAAAACGTTTTCCCAACTGAGATTTCTTATTGGATATAAAGACGTCTACCACTTTGCCCAACCGATTACACATACGCCATAGGTCACTGTTTAATACATACTCTGGGAAATTGGTAACATAAAAAGAAAAGACATTCTTACTCAATTCGTAATTCTCACTCCTGGAATTCTTGGAACGTTGCACTCCTGATTTCTTGAATCCTGATTCCTGAGGCTACCATCGGTCATGAAAAACTGATCTCATGCTGATACACAAGGTTCAATCGACCAGTATCCAATATTCGGACTAAAATTGAGTATTTCTGAATTTTTTTACTATCCACAGATCGCCTTGCCGGCGTTTGAACCCGCCGGAAAGGGTTTGAAATCCCGATATCGCCGAACGGGTTTCTTAAGGGTTTTTGAATTACTTGATATCTATGTTAGATAAATTACATGATTTTACTTGGTTAATCATATATGTATTTTATTATATATTTTTATAAAATATGTTGGGTAGTAATGGGTGATGAAAATGATGAGATGATGATGAGAGCATTTAACTTTTGATGAACCAATCATTTAATAGAGTATAGATAATGACCATAGAGTACTCTAGACAGTTAAGTGGAAATGGTAACAGACTCGCAACTTGTAGGTGTTAATGAACTATCTAGTCATTTGATGTATTCTATCCCCCTCCCCCCATGATTGCCTTATTGACATATATTGCTAAAAGAATCCCCGAAGTAGTATTGTCTACCCGTGATGATGATGATCCATAGGATATGTGTAACACCGAAAATTTTGAAAACAAAATTTTCAATTTTTATAAAACATAATTCCATTGATATTCATAAAACAACCATTTTAATTATCCAAACAAGACAATACAAAATCCCAAGATCATGATATCAAGCTCCGAATGTGTGTGTGTACGGATCAAGCCGGCGCCTTCCCGCGGTCGTCACTAGTACCTGAAACAATAACATCAACACTGTAAGCACAAGGATTAGTGAGTTCCCCAAAATACTACATATAACATATATTAGCCACTCGAGGCTATAACTCTGTGGGTCCGTGCACTCAAACTCTGTGAACCCTTAGGTTCTAACTCTGTGAACCTTCCGGTTCTAACTCTGTAAACATGCACAGCATCAATCACATAGAAGTAATGCAGTACAACACATAACATACATAGCATACAAATACTCTATCACATAACTCTGATTACCTACTCAAGGTAAAGTATAGTGAGAAGACTCACCTCGCGTGTCTCGGTAAATCGTAAACCTGAAATCGCTAATCACTCGACCTGTCGAGCTGTCGTCCCCCTATAGCACAATACACCTCTAATTAACACTTTCCCAACTAGGGTTGACCACACTATAACAAGTCAATCTAGATCAACGCTGGTCAACGGTCAACGGTCAACTTTGACCGGACTCGGCGAGTACCCAGGCGACTCGGCCCAATCTGGGCGTATACACCAATTTCCCTGGAATCCTCCCTTGACACGTCGAGCATTCCCTCAACTCGACGAGTTCCACCTGGCACGAGTTGTGGGGCCACCACGACTCAACTCGCCGAGTCTCAAGAACAACTCGGCGAGTCCAGTTAGACTCAGTCCACCTGTCCATTCTGACTCCCCCTTGACTCACTGAGTTCACCTTTCCCAACTCGGCGAGGCCACTCACAGAGTGGTCGGGCAACATTCATGCTACTCGCCGAGTCTGTTCTTCGGACTCGGCGAGTCCATGCCATGCACTGACTCAATCTTGCTCTAAAGGTCAGATCCAGTTCATTAATCCATAGATCCAGTCCCTCCAAGCTCATTTAGCACGTAAAGTTACAATCTTGATGCACATACAACCTCTATATGACCATATATGATGTTTATGACTCAAATACTACAACACAAGGTCAAAGACTTTCATTGTCACTCATAAAGCTTGATGAGTGAGGCTCTCTGGACCTCTATGGATCCAGATCCATGGCCTCAACTCAAAGAGGGAACCAATGGGCATCAAATCATCCCATAAATGACCACCACAAGCCCTAAATTGCATCATGCTTCACTAAACAGAAAATGGTCCGAGATAATACCTCTAGAGTGATGATCTAAGCTCCAAATCCACGAAATAGCAACCTCCTTTGCTTCCTCTTGCCTAGGGTCTCCTTCTTCTTGCTAAATAACACACACAAGATCAAGAATGGCTCCTTTCTCTTCACAAATAGCTCAAGAACACAAGGGTCACTCACTGAGGGTTGGGTGAGCACAAATGACGGCCATAAGGCCCTTTAAATAGGCCTCAAACCCGAAGATTTAGGGTTTCATTACACAGCGCAGACTCGCCGAGTCCATATCCTGGACTCGCCGAGTCCAGGCGCGCACCAATGTTCAATTCCGCGTCTCTACTCGGCGAGTCTGAGCTCCAACTCGCCGAGTCCCTCTCACAATATGACAAAATTAGATTTACAAGATACCTGGTAAAATCCGGATGTTACAATATGTCCTTTGATATTAGTATTTTAGGATTAGTATGTGAGAATAATGAGAAGTAGTAATTGGGTAAATTAGTTGGTGTAAATTATACAATTAAACAAATTAATTGTCGTGGGTGGAAAATCTTATATGCTCACCAAGCTTCCACATCTAACCCATTCGGTTTCTTTGTATCACTAAATTTCTTTGTATCATAAAATTTTCTAATCGTGAAAATGGAGATGTCATACCACGTAGGTGGAATCTCTTTCTTTAAGCTCAAAGGTTCAAAGTCTTGTTTGATAAATTATGCATCAATCAAATTTGGAGTAAAATTAGATTTGTTGTTGAATATATATATATATATATATATATATATATATATATATATATATATATATATATATATATATATATATATATATATCATTAGATAAGATTAAATGATAATAAATAAAAATAAACAAATATCTAGTTAAATCATTAATGTATAACATTCTACGAATAATATAACGGTCTTGAGAATTAAACAATTTAAAAATAATGTAATCATTTTTTAATTTTAAAATTTCTATTTTCGGATGATATGCTTTTTTGAAATATATCATTTATAATTTTATATGTAACGTATTATTATTATTATTTTAATAAAAGTTAATGCTAGTATGTATATATATATATATATATATATATATATATATATATATATATATATATATATATATATATATATATATATTCTTTTTCACATTAATATACTCTAATATATTCATACACCTTACAAAAAGAGTAAAATGTGTGAATAATTTAGAGTATATTACAATTTTGGTGTTAGCTTACACATCTAGACAATTAAAGACGCATGAAGTAAATTACACCAATTATGATCTCGAACTGGGAGCCGTGGTTTTCACCCTAAAGATTTGGAGGCACTACCCTACAGTACAAAGTGCACCATCTTCACCGATCACAAAAGCCTCGACCCCATTCTTACCCAAAAGGAGTTAAACATGAGGCAACAAAGATGGGTTGAGCTGCTAAATGATTACGAGTGCGAAATCAAGTACCACCCATGCACGGCTAACGTGGTAGCCGATACCCTGAGCAAAAAAGAATACTCAGGTCGTAGGGTGAAAACCTTATCAATAACCATCCAATCCCACCTAACCTCGCAAATCAAGGAATCCCAAACAGATGCATTCAAACCGGAGAACGTCGCGAATGAAACACTACGTGGGATGGATAAAATTTTGTAGCCAAAGAGGACAAAGCTTATTATTTCATGAACAGAATCTGGGTCCCAAAATTTGGGGGATTCAGAGAAAATATTATGAACGAAGCCCACAATACGCGATATTTTGTACATCCGGGTTCGGACAAGATGTATCTCGACATTAAGCAACATTTTGGGTGGCCAAATATGAAAGCAGAGATCGCCACTTACGTGGGCAATGTCTCACTTGCGCCAAGGTGAAAGTGGAATACCGAAAGCCCTGGAGACTATTACAACAGCCAGCAATACCCGAGTGGAAATGGGAATGGATTACTATGGAGTTCGTGACCAAATTACCTAGGACGATAGACAGATTGGATGCTATCTGGGTAATCATCGATAGGTTAACTAAATTCGCTCATTTCCTGCGAATAAAAGAATCTTACAAGATGGAAAGATTGACATGGATCTACATCAAAGAGATGATAAGACTTAATGGGGTGCCAGTGTCTATTATCTCAGATCGAGATGGTAGATTTACTTCACGATTTTGGCAATCGCTTTAGAAGGAAATGGGAACACAACTAGACATGAGCACTGCTTACCCCTCAAACCGAAGGCCAAAGCGAACAAACCATCCAAACACTCGAAGACATGCTTCGAGCCTGTGTGATTGATTTCGGCAAGTCATGGGATACCCACTTTCCTTTGGTTGAATTCTCATACAACAAAAGTTATCACACGAGCATCAAGGTTGTTCCTTTTGAGGCTATATATGGTCGCAAATGCAGATCGCCTCTATGTTGGGCTGAGGTGGGTGACACCCAACTAGCAAATGGAAAATTACTAGACAACACTCTCACAGGGCCATAAATCATTCAAGAAATGATAGAAAAGATAATCCATATCAGAGCCTGATTTCAAGCATCGCGAGACAGCCAAAACAACTATGCTGACAAACGACGAAAGCCTTTGGAATTCCAAGTTGGAGATCGGGTGTTATTGAAAGTCTCTCCCTGGAAAGGGATGATCCATTTTGTGAAACGGAGAAAACTATACCCACAATATATTGGACCATTCGAGATTCTTGCCCGAATTGGCCTAGTGGCTTATAAGCTGCAGCTACCTGCGGAGCTCAGCAATGTACACCCCGTGTTCCACGTCTCGAATTTGAAGATTTCTTATCAGATGAAACCCTTGTTATTCCTCTAGAAGAAATCGAAATAAACGAGAATCTCCTTTTCATCGAAGAACCGGTCGAGATTTTGGATAAGGAAGTGAAACGTACGAAACAGAGTCGTATCCCGATTGTGAAGTTTCGATGGAACGCTACACGTGGACCGGAAGTCACATGGGAACGCAAAGAACAAATGAAGAAGAAGTACCCTCCCTTATT